CTTGTAGCTTGGCTACATGGCCATGATTGCTGACTCTTCTTGGGTAACGTAAGGAGAAAAAGTTCCCACCTCCAGGAAAAATTTGTGATCAAAAGCACCAAGAGCAGAAGCAATATAAAAGCAGAGATAAAAATCACCACTTTGAAACAAAAATAACACTGTGGCCGACTGTCCAGTTGCCTTGCTACACAGGCAGTGTGTGTGCACCGTAGAAGCCTCCAGCAGTTGGTCAGGGTGTCTGCTCGCTCAGGCCCCTCCTTTCGTCACCACTGTTGAGGTGTGCAGATAGATATTAAGAAGTTAATGAGAGAAAGATTGTCTACTATTTTTGTCTCTGACGGTCAGTTGGGGTTTTACAGATTGTTATATGGCTTTATGTCAGGTCAGATCAGGTTTTTCTTGCTGTATAAGCCTGAGTAAAGAGTCCTGCACAAGTTAACTGGGACCCACAGGCTGACATTATAAACAGCCACCAAGCTCTTTCTCTCTGTGCTGTGGGAAAACTATGGGCTCAACGTTGGACTTTTCTTTTTTTTGGGGGGGGGGTTGGGATGCACACCCACCCACCTAAAGGCATCCCGGCTGGGAAAAGAAGGCACGACAGGGAAGAGGAGGAAAAAATGTGTGGAATCCCCTGCACCACCTTTTACAAATGTCACTGCATGGCTTTTGCGCCAGTTCCTGGTGCCGGTCTGGCTGTAGCCCTGCCCTCTGAACTCCGCCTGGGTGGGGTGGTTGCAGAGGGAGTCCCATCTCAAGTTTTTCCTAACTCAAAGTATTTTCCTTTATATCATGATTTTTTTTCACTTTTGCATATGAGAAACTGACACCCTATATTTTACACTTGATCCAGAGCTCTGGTGGTGTTCTGTGAGCAGAGCTTCTCTGGATTTTTCAATCGCTCCCCAATGGAGACTTTCCTACCTGTCTGTCTCTGCTGCCTGCCAAAACTGGAAACCTACAAATTACTTTATAATGTTGGTATTAGTTGTAATAGAAAAAAAATTGGAATATCCTAGATATTCATTAATAGGGACTAATTAAGACATAAAAGAGTACATATATGATTTCAATGATATGAAATATGAAAAACAGACAAAAATTGTCTATGGTTAGAGTTGTTAGAAGAGTAGTTTGGGGACCTACAGCCTGGGAGTCACCAGCTGCTCCTCGGAAACACTATATAGGGTCACTATGAGTCAAAACTGACTTGAAGGCATTTAACAACAATAACTTGGAAGTGGTCATGAAAAACAATATGGGATGCTGGAAATGATCTGGGATGGGTACACAGATATGTATATATGTAAATATTGCTTGGATGTAACACTTCAGATTGGTGTACTTTATTGAGTACATTATACTTTAATTTAAAAAGTTTAAAAATAGGGCCTGTTGATCAGGGAAATACAAATCAAAACCAAAATCAGATGCCATTTCACATCTAATAAGGTAACTATAATAAAAAGTACAGATAATTAGTTCTGGCAGGAATTTGGAGAAAAAGATACCTTTATTGCTTATATATTGCCTTGGGGTGTGTAAAATGGTACAGTCCCTTTGAAATGAGTCTGGCAGTTCTTTTAAAGGTTAAAAAGAGTTACTGTATCACCCAGCAATCCCAAGCCTAGTATATATATAAGAGAAATTAAAACATAAAAACTTGTACATGAGTGTCCAGAGCTGTTAGAATAGCCAAAAAGTGAAAACAATTCAAATGTTGATTAACAGAAGACTAGATAAATAAAATATGATTTATTCATATGATGGAATATTACCCAGAAAGAGTAAGAAATAGAGTAGTAATATTTGCCATAGCAGGGATGAACTGTGAAAATATTATATGAAATGAAAAAGTCAGTCACAAAAGGAACACATATGGTATGATTCTATTTACATAAATTGTCCTTAATTGACAAATTCATAAAGACAGGAAGATTGGTGACTGCTGAAGGCTGGGAGGTTGGAGGAAAATTGGGAGTGACTGCTAATGTGGATGGAATGCCATTTTGTATTGATGAAAATACTGTAAACTTGATTGTAATAATGTTTACACAACTCTGAATATACTGCACCAGCAGGGCTCCTTTCACCATTGCAATGGACTACTTCTTGTTGGTAAGTGCCATTGAGTCAGTTCTGATTCTTAGCGACCCTGTATAGGGTTTCTGAGGAGTGGCTGGTGGGTTTCAACAGCTAACCTGTCCAGTGCTTATCATACTGTGCCACACAAGAACTGTAAAAAGAACCAGGAAGCTCTCTGTGCAGAGACATGGAAGCATCTCCAGGATATACTGTTAAAAAGCAAAATGTAGAATGGTACATATGATATGCTACCTTTTTGTTGTTGTAAAGTGCTGTTGTGTCAGTTCTAACTCAGAGCAGTCCTCTATAGGGTTTCCTAGGAGTGACTGGAGGGTTTGAACCACAGATCTTGGATTTAACAGCCCAGTGCTTATCCTACAGCATAACTTTTTGTTTGTGGAAAACAATATATGAAAAAGCATACAAAAATTATCCATACTCTGACTGTAGAATTTATTTTAATGAATTTGTAGAAAAGACAAATACATCATTGTTTTGGACACAATCTCCTTGCTTTTCAATTCACTTTGTCCAGCTGTCAACAAGTTTTCATATTCCCTTATTTAAAACTGTTTTTGCTGAGCTGCAAATGTACTACTATCTTCAATTCATTAGAGGTAAAGCTTCATCTTTGAAAGGCTGCTTTGAGGGGACCAAACAGGTGAAAGTCCAATGGAGCAAGATCAGGACTATATGGAGGATGCTGTAACACCTCAAAGTGAAGTTTTTGCAGTGTCAATAGTGTTGGCAGAGGTATGCAGAATATATTGTCATGCAAGGTCACAAAGCCTTTGGATAACAGTCCTCTGCATTAATCTGAAGTTTAGGCTTTAGAAATTCAGTGAGCATCTCAATGTAAGAAGCATGTTTATTGGTGAACCTTTTTCCTGATAAGTGTTCTAATACTGGCCCTTGAGACTCCCAGAAAACTCTAAGCATCAATTTTCCAGTTGATAGTTGACTTTTGAACATTTTCTTGGTCAGCAATTGAGGAAAGTGACCAAGAAAAAGTCCTCCCTTGAATCCTGATCTTGCTCCATCGGACTTTCACCTATTTGGTTCTGTAAAAGCAGTCCCTCAAGGATGCTTTGTAAAAGCATCATCTCTGATGAAGAAGTGAAGACAGTGGTGCATCCTTGGCCCGCAGCTCAGCCTAAAACATTTTTAAATAAGGGAATACAAAATCTTGATGGCAACTGGACAAAGTGTATTGAAAAGCCAGGAGATTATGTTTTTTAAAAAATGATGAATTTGTCTTTTTTAAAAATTGATTAAAACAAATTCTATAGCCAAAGTGCAAATAATTTTTGACTTACCTTCATATATGTTTGTATTTGCTTTTGTTTGCATAAAGAAACCCTTACCCACCACCTACTGCCATTTAGCTGATTTGACTCATAGTTACTATATCAGGCAGAGTAGAACTGCCCCTTAGGGTTGCTGAGGTTATAAATCTTTATAGGAACAGACAACCTTGTCTTTCTCCTCTACAATGGCTGGTAAGCATTTAACCCATGGCACCACCACGCTTCTTAAAGAAGTTCTGTTGTTGTCAAGTGCCACTGACTCATAGCAGCCCTATACAGGACTTTCTGAGGAGCAGCTGCTGAATTTGAACTGCTGACTTTGTGGTTAACAATTCACTGCTTATCCTACAGCGTCACATTAGCACTCCAACTATATATAATAAGATGTATTATTATATTATAATGGAGTCCTGGTGTGGCACTGTGGGCTAATGTGCCAGACTGCAAAGCTGTTTGAACTGCAAGGCTGGCGGTTCAAGCTAACCAGCCGCTCCTCAGTAACCCTATACAGGGTCACTATGGGTTGGAATTGACTCGATGGCACTTAACAATAACAACAACATTATTATGCTATCTATTTTTATTTTTTTAAAAAAAACATATTCAGGCTTCCCCCGTTTAAAGAAAAGTAAAAGCAAAACAATGTTTGACAGTTACCCTGCTTCTGTCTTCACACTGGGATTACCTGGTGTGGCACTGTGTGTTAATGAGCTGGACTGCAAGGTTGGCTTGAATCACAAGTTCTGTGGCTCAAGCTCATCAGTCACTTCTTGGGAACCCTATAAAGGGTAGCTATGAGTTGAAACTGACTCAACAGCACTTAACAACAGAAACAAACATTTAAGAGCTCAAAATATAAACATACATTTTTCAATGTCACATGAGTGGAGTGAAGCTGAAAAGTGTTTGGTATTTGAAAGGTAATTTCCAGATGAGAAGGAACTTTTGTGGCACAGTGATTAAAGCGCTCATCTGTGAACTGAAAGGTAGGCTGTTGAAACCGACAAGCTGCTCAGGGAGTAAAAGATGTGGCAGTCTGCTTTCATAAAGACTACAGCTTTGGAAACCTGATGGGGCAGTTCTACTCTTTCCTAGAACATCGCTTGAAGTTGGCATCTACTCCATAGCTGTGGGTTTGGTTTTGGTAATCTCCAAAAAGATTTACATGTGTGTTGTTAAGTGTTATCAAATCATTTCCGACTTAGGAGCAGCTGGTGATTTTGAACCACTGACTTTGAGTTTAGCAGTTCAGTGCTTATCTTACAGTGCCACACCAGGACTCCAAAACTAAAGCCTGACTGTAGTTTTTGTTGTTAAGTACCGTGGAGTCGATTCTGACTCATAGTGACTCTACAGGGTTTTCCAAGGAGCGGCTAGTGGGCTTGAACCTCCGACCTTGCTGTTAGCAGTCACATGCCTGAACCAGAGAAGTTTCTTTTAGCTACCTGTGAGGAAGAGCAATAAGGAGTAAAAGACTGACTGACTTCAGTTACTATATTAAAAAAAAAAAAAAAAAAAAAAATCAAACAACACAGAGGCAGGGCTTTGTTTGGCATATGTGCTTTCTAATTGGTCCTGGAGGCCAGAAAAGCCAGATGCTGTGCTTACCTGTACCACTTCAGCAGAATAAACCCGCTGTGCCACAAGCATCAAGTCCCTGAGGAGGGTGATGAAAATGCACAGACAGTTCAACAGAATCTTCCGAGCAGCCTGGTTGAATACCTGGAGCTCTTCGACAAGTTGGGCATTGAGGGCCTCATACTCCTTTTTAGCCAAGCCTGACTCATCTCCTGCTGACCTCTGAAGGTAGCTGTTGTAATCCAGTAGTTTGTCATAGCGTTTCTGAATGAGCTTCTGAGGCCCAGGGAATAAAGGCAGCAGGGCTGACAAGGGAGTCAAGATGAGCCTCTGTAAGTGAGCAGCCTGCAGAAAGAAAATACAATTCCATTAAGACAGGAACAACCAATAACCAATGTCTATTTCTGGGACTCCTGGTCTTGTGTTATAGGATAAGCACTGGACTGTGAATCAAAAGGTCATCAGTTAAAACCCTCCAGCTACTCCTTGGAAATGCTATGCAGGATTGCTAGGAGTCCGAACCAACATGACGGCAGCTTACCAACAATAATGCTCACTAGAGGAGTCATATATAAAGGATATCAGAAAGTATCTAGCCAAGTTAAAACAGGATCAGATCTTTACATTTTTGGGGGGTGGGGTAGGGTGGAGTAGAGTGGGGTGGGGAGGGTAACAAACAGGCATATCTAAGGATGACAGATACGTGACATGTCCTGAGCACCACTTGAAAGGGGGTGCCACTGAGCAGTTTTCTTCACCAGGTGAGAGAGATCATTCAGTAAGTTAAAACTAATAGCTCATGGGTAAGGTAGACTGTATGATCTTGCTTTGCTGAGTGTAGAAAGAGGATAAACTGGAAAAAAAAAAAGACTTTGAGCACATCATAAACCGACATTCATCACTGAAAGCAAGAAAGGTGTAGTTGTAATTTTCATGTAATGCCTAATGTATGAAGTAAAAGATTAACAAGCTTGACTTGTATTTTTGAACTGATATTATAGTCGTAGTCTAAAGGATGGTCATCACATGTTTGGACAGGGATGCAATATCAGCTGTATTTTCTGTGGATACACCTCTTTAACTAAAACCATTCAAAGACTTAAAACAGGGGCTGTAGACTCCAACACTGAATTTGAAAAGTGAGCAAGAAGAGCAATAAAGTTAAAGCCTACTAATCCACTTTCCAAATACTCCACCTTTCTCTTCACAGCCATTGGTTTTGTCATTGGGATTATGGTGCAGTGAATTATTTAGTATGCCTGTTCTAGTCATGTCTTTGTAACTTCCACTAAATGATTTTTTTCTTGATGGGCCTGGGTAAGAGAAGGTGAGGGAAGATGCTGATTTTATTATATGACACAGTTGTGAGTTATTGTTATGGGATTGTCATTATAAAAACCTGACACTCTAACTAGGGACTTGGTCACTGTTACCAGCCTTTGGTATTTAAATGAGTCATCTCAGAAGCAGGACTTGGTGAATCTCACAACCATCAAAGAGCCAGGAGTACAGCATGTCCTTTGGGCCATAAGATCCTTAAACATTCCTCAACCAGGAATAGAGAGCTGCGACAATAGAGGAGCAGCAGCAGCAGAACCTAGAACCAGAGCATAAGACACAGTGGTAGACTTCCTGGCCCATGGAGCAAGTAAAGCTGACCACCTTTGGACAGGAGACTTGTTTGTGAGGTGGGGTGCCTCTAGGGACTTACTTGTGGAGTTAGCTTTGTTGACCCAGGGAGCAAGAGCTTAGTGCCTTTGGGCTGAGGGTTATAGAGGAGTAAAGTGTCCTTTAGGCATTTATCAGCAGTCCTAAAAGTACTTTGTAACATTGCTGAGCAGGGGAGAGGCCAGGCCAAGGGGTTCAGCGAAAGTGAGAGCCTTGTCTGGAGAGGCTGTCCTGACTGGAACTGTGCCCTGAGCATGTCTTACCCTGAAATATACCCTATTAACTTTCTCATAAAACCCCATTAACATGAGTATGGTATGTGAGTTCCGTGTGGTCATTGCAATGAATTAGCAAACTCAACTGTGTAGAGAGTGAGTGCTCTGGGAGAAAGAGTCGGTGTCATGTTGCAGGGATCTTCTCTTTCAACACATTCAACTTCTTCCTTTTTCCAGAGTTAAACTGAATTACTCCAGCACATGCGTGTTCACTCCATCCTTTAACTACCAAGATGGTGTGAAGGATTCACAATATTTCTCACACCCTTTTCTGGCAGCAAAGAGGATAGAGGCAGTCTTAGAGGAGACTACTCTATTTCTCCCATATTTACCACAAAACATTAATTACCCTGGGTTCAAATTTGGGGTGATAAAATTGCATCCCTATACAAATAAAAACCAGTTGCTACTGAGAGTATATTGAAACTCATGACAACCCCATGTATGCTAGTGCAGAACTGTGTTCTGAGGATTTTCAATAACTGGTTTTTCAGAAGTAGATCACCAGGCCTTTCTTCCAAAGTACCTCTTGTACATTCAAACAATCAACTTATCAGTTAGCAAATGAGCACATTAACTGCTGCCCCACCCAGGGACTCCCCTACACAGATCATCAAAAACCAAACCCATTCCCTTGTAACAGATTCTAATCATGACAACCAAACAGGACAGAGTAGCCCTGCCCCACTGGATTGCCAACACTATAAATCTTTACAGAAACAAGCTGCCATGTCTTTTTCCCACCAACCTTTCAGGTAGAAACCTAGCATTTAACTACTGGGCTTCTGTATGGTGGTGGTTATGTGCCATGGAGTTGGTTCCAACTCATAGTGACCCTGTACAGGGTTTCTGAGGCTGTAAATCTTTACGGAAGCAGAAAGCCTCATCTTTCTCCCCGCTGGTAGTTTCGAATTGCTGACCTTAAGGTTCACAGCTCAATTCGTAACCACTATGCAAAAACCAAACCCACTTCCATTGAATAAATTCTGACACATACTCCCTAATTTCCCCCTTTATTCCTAGAATAGAAAGTATCATAGAGCTATTATCTTATATCTAAATACATTTTAAAAATTAAGCTGAAGCCTAGTCCTGTTTGTTAAAGTGGACTCCTGGTATGGCGCTATAGAATCAGCATTGTTCTGTGAACCATAAGGTTGGCAGTTCAAACCCACCAGGAGCTCTTTGGAAACACTATATGTTCACTATGAGTCAGAACCAACTCTACAGCACTTAACAATATTTTTAGATCTGAGTTATTGAAAATGAACTTTGTACTAATGTTCAACCCTGTATCTGCACCTGACCATCCTACATTTATTTCTTTTGTTTGTCATTCTTCTTCCTCTGTTCTGAAGTACACTAGTGCCCTGTTTGCTGATTGTTCTACTTTGTTATTTATTATACAAAGGTGTTCCAAAAAAATCCTGTAAAATTTTCACTATCTTTTATTTCTACTTTTTGAAGCCCCCTCCTATGTTTTTGAATAGTAATGAACAGCCAGCTGTAATTGTTTTGTTTTGGGGTGGGTTTTTTTTGTGTATTCTTGGGTTATATGATTATTTTATACCAGTTTGAAAGATTTCTTTTTTATACCTCCTAACATGCCCTAGGAAGGAGCTCTGGTAGCGTAGTGGTTACGAATCGGGCTGCGAACCTTAAGGTCAGCAGTTCGAAACTACCAGCCGCTCCGCGGAAGAAAGATGAGGCTTTCTACTCCCGTAAAGATTTACACCCTCGGAAACCCTGTACAGGGTCGCTATGGGTCGGACCCGACTCGATGGCACTTAACAACAACAACAACAACATGCCCTAGGAGTCCTGGTGTGGTGCTGTGGGTTAATGCACCAGTCTGCAAAGCTGTTTGAACTGCAAGGTCTGTGGTTCAAACTCATCAGCTGCTCCTCAGAAACCCTGTACTCAATGGCACTTAACAACAACAACAACAACATGCCCTAAGTAAACAGTATCTGAACAGCAGCTTTGTTAATTAATTTAAATGGCACATAGTAACTTAGTTTGAACTTATGATTAATGTAGAAGAGAGGGAAAACCAATCTCTTATTGGCACCTGGAATGGCCAATATAGATCGAATCTGATGTCTAGCTTATGAGATAATCAATATGCACTTGCATAATGCTTAATGAGTCCTTTGACTAAACAAATGATGTTTGCTGTATCTGGGATAAGTTATTGCGCTTCTGACTTATCTGGTAATTTAATTACACTAAGTCTTCCCAGTGACCCTTAGGCATGAACTGATTCACCCATATTTAGGAAGTGTGACTGGAACAAATCAGAATCATATTTTATTTTTATATTTTGTCCTTACAAAATATGTATCTATCATTCATGGTTACCTAACAATTGCTCTATCACTGGCTAGAATGTGAGCTCTTCATACTTCATTTTTGAAAAGCATTCTATTTTTTATAATAAAAAAAATTGGCTTTGAATATTGAGCTTTCTGATAACTATTTTGTGTATTTTACCTTATCATCTTATGCTTTTATGCAAGGCACAGGAATCCCCTCTCTCTTCATTTTATCAAATTCTGGAACATGATTGCTGAGGGAGAAATTATATGCCTTGCCCTTACATGATGTTCAATACATACTTATTGACTTAATGATTGAATTAAGTAGGCCACAAAGCAAACCTTTAAGAGCTTTACTAGAGTATGCTCTCTGTAATTTAGCTCAGAAGATTCATAAATATCTAGCCAGATTTATTCCATTAAACATATTGTAAAAATGTTTATCTACCTATCTATCTATCTATCTATCTATCTATCTATCTATCTATCTATCTATCATCTATCTATCTATTTATCTATCTATCTATCTATCTGAGTCTGGGCATCGTGCTGTGAGTTAATGCACTGGGCTGCAAGGTTGGTTTGAACTGCAAGATCGGCAGTTCAAGCTCACCAGCTGCTCCTCAGAAACACTATACAGGGTCGCTATGAGTCAGAACTCACTCAAAGGCACTTAACAACAATCTAATCTAATCTAACCTAATCTTTCGCCTGCCTGACTGCCTACTTACCTGCCTGCCTACCTACCTACCTATCTATCGATCTATTTTAGTTCATGCATAACCTTGATTTTCTATCCCCAGGTGTCAATAAAGCAAAATAATTGTAGGCGGTTCTCTACTGAGGTTGTATACGTCCTATGGTTTAGAAATGCATAAGGCTATTCATTGACTGTTACAGTGACTCAAGATGGAGAAACATTACTGAAATTTAGACCTATGGAAGCCAGGAATGCTAAACATCCAACACAAAGGCTACTCACTGAAGATGTGTCTGACTCCAAATGCTAAAAATGCCAATACTTTCAAGAATTTTAAAGACGATGAAAGGAGTCTACTGTATCTTTTATTTGATATTAATAAAAGTGAAATAATATATAAATACAAGATAGTAAATTACAATCACTATCATTCATACTGGTGTGGACTGCTAATGACAAAATTAGTGACTCAAACCCTACCAGCCACTCCTTGGAAACCCTATGCAAGGTTGCTATGAGTTGGAACTGATTTGATGACACATAGCAAACAACAATTACTCAGACTAGACAAATTTTATTGGCTCAAGTCCGAATTGGGTTGCAAACCACAAAGTCAGCAATTCGAAACCACCAGCTGTTCCGCGGGAGAAAGATGAGGCTTTCTACTTCCGTAAAGATTTACAGCCTCGGAAACCCTGTACAGGGTTGCTATGAGTAACCGACTCCATGGCACATAACCACTACCACCACATATTTATGATCATAAACCTATATTTTACAGGTTTCTTAGAAAAGAAGTATTTTAGCACAGAACAGAAGAAATAATATGTGACTCTCTGGTAAGAGCTCTCAAAAGGAAGCTTTGCTTTCCAATATTAATAAGAATTACATTTTCAAAGACTACCTCCTCTCCTCCTATAAGGTTTCCAGAGACTCCTTTAAGAAAATCAGAACATTAAAGCTTAATGAATATTTGAAATATCATATGCAGACTTAACTAAATCAAACTACACAAATACTGATACTCCTAAAAACACATTCTGGGGTCCGCTTAAGTTTTGATTATAGTAAAATCCTCACTAAGCCATTTGAAAAATATTAAATGGTTTTTAAAAATCTCCTACTTAAACCTACTAATTTTGACATTAATGTTTACTTTAGCGTCTGTTTTATTTTTAATTCCCCAAAAAAAGAGAGAAAGAAATGAAAGGCAGATTTTCTTATAACCCTATTATTTAATTTGTACTTTTCTGTGAATATGAATAACTTACAAAGTCATCACAGGGATTTGGGATATTACTTGGGGTCTCTGAATGGCCACTCTCTTCCTCATCTTTATTGTGTGAAATCTCTTGGAGCTCCATTACACTCTGTAGAGCCAAAGGCATGGCTTCCTGAAATCCAAGACAAAAGGTACAAAAAGAATACATGTAAATGCATCCTAAATGGAGACCTCAATATCATACCCCTTCATCATCACTGAAAGCTAAAAGACGAAAAGGAAAAAGAAAACAATTCATGCATATTCTTGCACAATTTACATGCAAACCATGTATTTCTTTACATGCCACTTTATGAATCTTGTATAAAAACTCCTTCATTAAGTGGAATCCTTCTTAGACTCCTTCATTGGTCATTCTTTAACATTCAATTCAAAGAGCTTCCTCATTTAAAAAAAAAAAAAATTACTCTCAGTTATATCTTTACCTTTCCTTCAGGATTCCAATGCTTTCTTTAAGAAATATTTATAATTTTGTTGAATCAATTAGTGGAAATGGAATATTTCCTATAGATGTTTCCAAAAGGCATTTACTCTTTGAGAAGTACATCAAGGACAGGGTTCACCCTGCCTCTGACTGTTATAACTATGTTTTGACTTAGTTTTAATGATAGGCAGAATGCACTTTAGGAAAAGTTTAGCAAACTGGATTGTGAAATAGATACTGTGCAGTTAATATGAACAAAATCGTGTTTGTCAGTAACATAGCATGGAACCTTGTCTCCAAATCATTGTGCCTGTCACGATGATTTGGACATAATCCTCTGTTGGTGTGATATTTTACATTCTAAAACCTGATCAAGAGAAAAATTTCTGGAAAATCAAAGGGGATCAGTTATTAACTGACACATGTCACAACCGTTCTGTGTCCCATAGTCATGACCATTGTAAGAAAGTTATTAAAGACACTGTGTCTTTATGAGGTCCACTATCGGAAACTCCTGGCTGACCTTAATAACAGCAATTGTATTATATTTTGCTGCTGTTGTTGGTAAGTGCTGTTGAGTTGGTTCCAACTCATAGCAACTGCTGTAGCACTGTGGGATTAGCATTGGACTGCAAGGTCAGGTGGTTCAAACTCACCAACCACTTGTTCGGAATACTATACAGGGTCACTATGAGTTGGAACCAACTTGATAGCACTTGACAACAACAAATGTCCTTTCCTTAAAGTCTTCTGCTAGTTAACTTATAGTTAAAATTTGAGCCACATATTTGGGTTTTTGTGTTCTTTGCAGTCTTCTGTTGTGTACTTAGTGCCTTTTAATTTTCCACTGATTTCATTTTATGTACTACCTTGTTTTTCTTTTCATTCAGTCCTGTTATTAAATTATATGTTTTGGGTATTTTTGAAAGTTATGTTAAATCCTGCTGAAAAGAAATGATGTTCATATACTCAAATAAACAAATAACATTTTTCTTTGTCACAATTTTGATTTAATGAACTTATCTTTCTTATAAAGGAAGTAAGCTGATGGTCCAGAAGCAGGTGGCAATCATATGACCAAAGCTCCCCTAATGTGGTAATTTGGATTCGGCGTAGTGTGAGGTGGGTAAGGGAACAGAGTGAAAACCAAGGTCTTATATTGGCTTATTTTACCAGCAGTTTGTAGCCTTCTTCTAAATTTGATACAATAGATTTCCAGATGTAAATGAATGAACAGTCACATTTACTCTTCACGATAACCATGGAAATAAACACAATGGTGTAGAAATATTAAAAACAGTTTTGTCTCACCTACCTGTATGTGTTGAAGAGAAAATGAAATGTTCTTCACACAATACCTTACAGTCTTTTCTAAACATCTAAAAAGTTTTTCTTCTTTGTTAAAGGTATTGTCTTTCACCTAAAATATACATGAAATTATTTCTTTTTATGACAAAAATGAATCTGGTATTTAAAAACGAAAACAAACTGCATGAACCGTATTGTTCTAGCACATCAGAAAAACCCACTGTTGTGATAAAAACATTTTGGGAGCTGCTAACTGTCTTATACAGAAGTTTCTGTGTTACACAGCATAATTAACATTCAATTAGTGTAGCAAAGCCACACTGCACAGATTACTTTGATGTGGTTCAGTTTTCACATATTTTACCCACATTATAGTAGCTATAGTACCGTAAACTTCTTCTCTGAGCTTTTTAAAATGATATGTATAGGAGCTCTGGTAGTGTAGTGATTATGAGTCGGGCTGCCAACCTCAAGGTCAGCAGTTCGAAACTACCAGCGGTTCTGCGGGAAAAAGATGAGGCTTTCTGCTCCCGTAAAGATTTACAGCCTTGGAAATGCTGTGCAGGGTCACTATGAGTCGGAACAGACTCCACAGTACTTACAACAACAACAGTTATGGAGTCCTGGTGTGGCGCTATAGCCTAAGCACTGGACTACTAACCACAAGGTCAGAGGTTCAAACCCACCAGCTACTCCTCAGAAACACTCAGTGTTGCTATGAGTTGGAACCAACTTGACAGCACTTAACAACAACAACAGCAACGTTATAGAATGAGTACAACCACACTCCTTAGAAGCGAGGCTGGAAAGACTTTGTCTTTCGTACTTTGGACATCTGGTTAGGAAGGACCAATCCTTGAAGAAGGAACTCATGCTTGGATAATGGAGGTCAGAGAAAAAGAGGAAGAATCCCAACATGATGGACTGACACAGTGGCAGCAACAGTGGACTCAAACGTAACAACTGTGAGGAAGGTGCAGGATCAGGAGGTGTTTCATTCTGTTGTGTGAAGGGTCCTTGTGAGTCAGAACTGACTTGAGGGCACCTAAAAACAACAATTCACATGTATTCTTAAATGACAGTAGATGTTTGGTTTTATAGCATAGGTGAATCTAATTTATTGACTAGGAATTATTGTTTTGCTATTTTCATTTATTACAATTTATTTCCGAGTGGTTATTTAGAATATATACTTAAATTCATGCTTAAAGAAATGTGATTCTTTATCAACTCATATTTGAAGGAGTGCACACAATATTAGAAAAAATAATCCTTTTGTTAGGATAACTTAGTATAATTAAGATTGTTGTTGTTGTTGTTAAGTGCCATCGAGTTAGTTCTGACCCATAGCAACCCTATATAGGGTTTCTGAGGAGTGGCAGGTGAGCTTGAACCACTGACCTTGCAGTTCAAATGGCTTTTCAGTCGGGCGCATTAACCCACAGCACCACACCAGGACTCCACTTGTTGCCGTTGTTAAGTGCTGTCAAGTCGATTCTGACCCATAGTGACCCTGTATAGGGTTTCCGAGGAGCAGCTGGTGAGCTTGAACTGCCGACCTTGCAGTTCAAACGGCTTTGCAGTCTGGCGCATTAACCCACAGTGCCACACCACTTGTTAGGTGCCATCAAATCAGTCAGACTCATAGAAACCCTATGCATAACAGAACACAACACTGCCTGGTGCTGAGTCATCCTCAGAATTGTTACATTTGAGCCCATTCTTGCTGCCAACAAGTCAATCCATTTTGTTGGGGGTCTTCTTTTTCTCTGACCTTGCACTTTTCCAAGCATGATGTCCTCTTTCAGGTACAGGCCCGTGCTAATAATATGTGCCTTCCAACCTGAGAAGCTCATCTTCTGGCACCAGATCTGACAACGTCTTGTTGCTTGTCACAGTGTTTTCATCTTCTGGTTCTTTATTTGACAAGGTTCCACAGTTATTCATACAGTTTTCAGTGGCTAATCATTCAGACATAGTCCACTTATCCTTCATGGAAGTCTGTCTTAGTCTGGAAGCTCCATGAAACCTGTCCTCCATGAGTGACCCAGCTGGTATTTAAAATACTGGTTGCATTGTTTTTAGCATCACAGTAACACACAAAGCACAACAGAGCAACAAGCTGACAAATGAATGGTGGTCCTCAGTGGAAAGAATTACTTAAATAACTAACTAGTATTGTCAGAGCAGAGGAGGCTGAGATTTGTTTTCAACAGTGTTTGAGGGAGAATTAACATAATAGATGACTTGGAAAATAAGATTTGAAAGGCATAAAATGGGTAGTATTTAAGCAAAAGAAAGTGACAGAAAGACGTAGTTTTAGAGAACGGAAGAGGTAGAATCAGGCACTATTTCTCACAGTGTGATCCTGGAGTCTACTTTAAAATCATCTCAGCCCCAGGTAAGATATACTAAATAAAGTGTTTGGTGAGGTGCCCTGAAAACTAAATTCTCTGAAAACAGAGAATACCAGAAAGATGCTTCCTTGTGTTTTATTGACTATAGAAAGGCATTTGACTATATAGATCACGGCAAACTATGGATAATATTGAGAAGAATGGGTATTTCAGAACAGTTACTTGTGCTCATGAGGAAATCTGTATTGGAGTATATGAAGAAGAACATAGCATCAGGATTGGTGGAAGAGTCACTAACAACCTGCATATGTAAGATACAACCTTGGTTGCCGAAAGCTATGAGGATTGGTGAAGATCAAAGCCTTCAGTATGGATTGCACCTCAATATAAAGAAAACCAAAATCCTCACAACTAGACCAATAAATAACATCATGATAAATGGAGAAAAGATTGAAGTTATCAAAGACTTCCTTTTACTTGGATCCACAATCAACACTCATGAAAGTTATTGTTGCTGTTAAGTGCCATCAAGTAGGTTCCAACTCATAGAGACCCTGTATAGGGTTTCCAATGAGTGGTTGATGGGTTTGAACTGCCAGTCTTGTGATTCAAACTGACCCTGCAGTCCAATGCTTTATCCTATAGTGCCACACCAAGAAATCAACTATATTGCATTAGGGAAATCTGCCAAAGAGTGCTCTAATGTGTTGAAGAGCAAAGATATCAGTTTGGGAACTAACATACACCTGACCCAAACCATAGTATTTTCAAAAGCCTTCTAGGCATGTGAAAGTTGGACAATGAATAAGGAGTACCATAGAAGAACTGATGCATTTGAATTATAGTATTGGAGAAGAATATTAAAAGAAACATGGACTGGCAGAAGAACAAACAAATCTTCAAAAGTGCAGCCAGAATTATCTTTACAAGTGAGGATGGTGAGACTTTGCCTCCCATACTTCGGACATGTTATCAGGACACCAATACCTGGAGAAGGTATTTACATTGTGCTTGGTAAAGTGGAAGGTCACTGAAAAAGGAATATTCCCCAGTGAGATGGATAGACACAGTGTATAATAACAATGGTGATGATAATGCAGGACCCTGCAGTGCTTCATTATGTTGTACATAGAGTCGCTGAGTTGGAACGACTTGAATGTACAAAACAACTACTCTACTGAGGAATTGTAAGCATTTTGAGAGTAAGCATACTTGTCTTAATAATAAAAATAGTGAACATTTATTTTTGTTGTTAAGTGCCATCAGGTTTGTTCCAACTCATAGTGACCCAGTATAGGGTTTCTGAGGTTATAAACTTTCTGGGGAGCAGAAAGTCTCATCTTTCTCTTCAGTAGTACTTGTTGGTCTCTGTAATAGGGTTCTGTGTTAACTTGACTAGACCAGGATTTCCAGTGGGTTAGCAGTTGAGATGTGCTTATTCCCAATGTGATGAAACCTAATCCAGGTGTAGTTAACTTTGATAGTGGCTATGATAAGCCAATCAATTGAAGGGATGCTTCCTTGCAGGTATGGCCTACTCCCAATATAATTGACAGGTGGAAAAGGCTCTCTCTCTCTTCCACTGGGGACCTGGGACTCTAAATTCTTAAGCTATTTTCTTGATAATAAACATATATATATATAATATATATGTGTGTGTGTATAACATATATACACACATATATGTGTTTCACTGGTTTCCCTTCTTTGGAAAACCCAGACAAAGACAGGCTCTAAGTACCAACTTTCGAAAACCCAGACAAAGACAGGCTTTAAGTACCAACACTTAGCAGTGTTTATACTACAGAGTCATTGCTCTCCCTACATATATTAAACATGGACTAGTTCAACACCTAACTACCACCACCATGTTCTAGAAGTGCTGGTGGTGCCATGAGCTAAGCATTGGCCTACTAACCAATAGGCCAGAAGCTCAAACACACCAGCTGCTCCAAAGGAGAAAGATGAGGCTGTCTGCTATAATAAAAATTCATAGCCTTGGAAATCCTAGGGAGCTGTCCAACTCTGTCCTATAGGGTCGCTATGAGCCAGAATTGATACGATGGAGTGGTTTTACAAGTTTTATTTATTTAATATTTCAGATACTGTACTAGTACATTTCTTCCATTTTCTCATTGAATTCTTATACAACCCTGTGGGAAAGATACTATTGTTAATCCCATTTGAATGGTCAAGAAATAACTTTAGATCTTTAGGTCAAGAAAGAAAGATGGTAAGTGCCATTGAGTCACTTCTCATAGTGACACTGTATAGGAATTTCCATGGAGCAGCTGGTGGGTTTGAACTTCCAACCTTGTGGTTAGCATTCCAGTGCTTATCTTGCAGCATCTCACCAGTGAGGCATAACAGAGGCTATTAAAAATTTATTTCTGTTGTCCTTTTACTAACAGAAGCCCTACCAGTAGTTCAAGTTGAACACATGACTGCCCTGCTAGAGATTACACTTACCAGACTTCCTTGAAGTTAGCTATGGCCTTGTGACTGAGATGGACCAAATAGGATGTGTGCCAAAGTGATGTGTGCATTTTAGGAGTCCTGTTTTTTTAACAGTTTCCTTGAGACCTGAATGAAGACATGCCAGTGAGGCAGCTTCAGCCAGGCAGATGAAGACAATACTTTAAGGGAACAGTACAGCAAAAAAAAAAAAAAAAAAAAGGATCCCTGAAGGATTTTTTTTTTGAAGTAGAGCCCATCTGGACTCACCTCTCAGGACTATTATAAGAAAGAGAAGTAAACTACTATCTGATTTAAGCTATTAATCTTTGGAATCTTTGTATAATAGAAGCTTATTTTTTACCCTACTAAATAAAAAAATAAAAAACAGCAGCTGCCACCAACTCAAATCTATCTCAAGGCTACCCCACGTATGTCAGAGTAGGTTTTTGTTTAACTAGGGTTTTCAGTGGCAGATTTCTTGTAAGTAAATCACCATGTCTTTCTTCGGAGGGATTACAGTTAGACTCAAATCTCTAACCTTATGGTTAGCAGTCAAGCTCATTAGCATTTGCACTATCCAGTGACTTTGTAATAACTAATAAAGGCAGGTAGGAGTTATTGTTCAGTGCTATCGAGCCAGTTACGACTCATAGCAACCCTGTATAGGGTTTCTGAAGAGCAGCTGGTGAGTTTGAACTGCCATCCTTGCAGTTCAAACCAATATCATGGTCCAGTGTTTATCCTACAGTGCCGTACCAGGATTCTGGGGTAGGAGTGGGGCGGGGGGGGGGGGTTGTAAATAAGTAGGACCAGTATTCAAACTCCAACAGTATGAATTTAGTCTAGCTCATCTTTATAGTCTCAAATTCTAATGCAGTGCCTAGTACCTGAGAATTCAATACATGTGTGATGAATTGTATAGAATCTTCCTCTTGGGTAAAGTGCTATACCCTAACTCCACCAAATATTTCACCTGAGCTGCTGACAAGTGCAAAATTGATTGATTTGAGATTTATCTTTTCAGTTCGGTCTATGCAGCTGATTTTCTGATTAACAGTGAAATGCTTCACTGCTGACAGGACATCATCTCAAAAGATTAAGGGGAAAAATCTAATTAATATCCCTTCAGGCTGCTCTAACTACAATTCACTTTTAGCTCACAACTGAAATATATCAGCCGATGATAAATATGTTAAAGACCGTAACAGTTTATACAATGAGCCTGCCCAGAATTAGAAACTGCCGATCATTCTTTAATATAATTTTCTTGAACACCAGAAGCAAAATTACCAAGAGTGGGGTGAAATGCAGGCGCTACATTTATATATGCCCATGGAAGCTACAATTTCTGCTTAAATGAGTTACCAATTCACTTATATTACTGTTGTCTTTACTTGTAATGGTTTTTCTTTCCTTTCTTTGTGACTACACACCATAAATGGCCCAACCTTCCCATTTTATAGTTTCACATTGAGAGAAGGGACTTAGATTCACCTTCTATTTGCAATGGACTAGGTGAGCCCTAAAGGAATATAAGAAAGCAAGTAAAAGAATGAATTTATATCCACATGGGAAGAAGCAGCAGCAAGTCAATGATATAATAATATTGACAGTTTATCAGGGGTGGGGAATGTCTAGCTCTTGGACCATATAAGCCCATGAGATCATTTGATCTGGCCCTGCCAAGGAAACCACAGGTGGGACTCGAAATTCAATAAATCTAGGAGCTTTTTTCATAGCAACATAAAGTCATATAAAGGGATGCTATAAATATTCAAATGGCCCTTGGCAGAAAAAAATGGTTCCCCACCCCTGGCTTAGATAAACTGTTGTTGTTGTTAAGAGCCAGCAAGTTGGTTCTGACTCATAGCGACCCTGTATAGGGTTTCCAAGGAGCAGCTGATGAGTTTGAACTGTTGACCTTGTGGTTCAAACTGACCTTGAGGTCCAGTGCTTTATCCCACAGTGCCACAGTGCTTAGATACATTCCGTGCTTTCTTTATATGCATTATTTTTTTGATCTTCACATCTACCCATCTGCTTGGTACTAATAAAAGCCACCACTTACATATGAGTAAGTTAACTTTAAGGAAGAAAGATTTTAGAAAATTAGTCAATGAAAACCCTATAAATCACAGTGGTCTAATCTGCAACTGATCTTGGGGATGGAACTGACCAGGCAGCATCTTGTTCTATTGTTCTTGGGGTTGCCATGAGTTGGGTACCAGCTTGATAGCAGCTAACAACAAATTAAATTCATGCACCCAAAGGAAGAAATATAGCCAGCATGTTCCTTGTAAGTATGGATGGCAAAATTTCATCTCACATAGTTTAGACATATTATCAGGAGGGACCAATTCCTGGAGAAGGACACCATGCTTGGTAAAGTACAGGGTCAGCAAAAAAAGAGGAAGACCCTCAACGAAATAGATTAACACAGTGGCTTCAACAATGAGCTCAATCTTAGCAAGGATTGTGAGGGTGGTACAGGACTGGGCTGTGTTTTGTTCTGTTGTGCGGAAGGGGTCACTGTGAATTCAAGCTGACTTAACAGCACCTAAGAACAACAGCCCAAAGGCAAATCTCTATTAAATAGCAGACTTAGAATTCAAATCCAAGTTGGGTGACTTCAAAGGCCTTGTAATTTTCTGTCCTGTGCTAAGTCCTGCAAATATAAAGCGTACTAAGACTGGGGTCATCATCGTTAAGTGCCATCAAGTCGGTTCTGACCCATAGCAACCCTGTACAGGGTTTCCGAGGCTGTGAATCTTTACCGGAGCAGAAAGCCTCATTCTCCCAGGGAACAGCTGGTAGTTTCGAACTGCTGACTTTGTGGTTCGCAGCCCAATTCGTAACCACTATACTACAGTGATTTAGGCATTCAGAGGAGGAAAGGTCACTTCTATCTAAGTGGTGACAAGTCTTCAAAAATGTCATTAACACAGCAACTGAAGAATGAGGGCCTAGGATAAGGCTTCTAACAACCAATGCTGGATGATTCTATAGTTGTTTCTATTGTTAAGTTGTTAAGTATCATCAAGTCAGTTCTGACTTATAGCGACCATGTATAAGACTTTCAAGAAGTGGCTGTAGGTTTGAACCTACAACATTGCAATTATTAGTCCAGTGCTTATCTGTGCCAGGACTCCATATTTGTCTCTGGTTCAAACTAAATTCCTTAGAGATATTAAATTGTTTGTTGTTGTTAAGCGATAGCGAGTTGGTCCCGACTTGTAGTGACCTTGTGTAGGGTTTCCAAGAAGTGGCTGCTGGTGATTGAGCCTCTGACCTTATTGTTGAAACCAATCTTGCAGTTCAGTGCTTAATCTTACAATGCCTCAAACCTCTTGCCATCATTCTGACTGGTAGTAATTGTATACATGTTGTTGTTGTTGTAAAGTGCTGTCGAGTCGATTCCAACCCAGAGCGACCCTGTACAGGGTTTCTGAGGCTGTAAATCTTTACAGTAGCAGAAAGCCTCATCTTTCTCCTGTGGAACAGCTGGTAGTTTTGAACTGCTGACCTTAAGGTTTGCAGCCCAATTTGTAACCACTATGCTTAGAGATATTAAAATAATAAGTGACAAAAGCAGGCAAATTAGAAGGAAAAAAATAAGGATTGTATAATATCTTAAGCACTGCCTATGTTTGGTTAGAAGTCCACTGTATTACTACCAAAGTGTCATGGACTTTGTATTTTGTGATTCTCAAAGTGTATTCTATTGATTGTTTATTTCAAGCTCTTTAGCTTGAAAACTGCCGGGGTGTCTGCAAAAATACAGACTTTTTCGTTCCACCCTTGAAATGGTGGAAGCTTGGAATAAGGTCCTATTCTTTGTCAAGCTTCTCAGGTAATTCTGGTTGTTGTTGTTAAAGGCCATAAGACTGGTTCAGACTTTCATAGCGACCCTGTATAGGGTTTCCAAGGAGTGACTGGTGAGTTTGAATCATCGACCTTGTGGTTCAAACCGACCTTGTGGTCCAGTGCTTTATCCCACAGCGCCAAACTATTACTCTTTGGCACATTAAAGTTTGAGAGCCTTTGCTAGCCCATCCACTATGAATTAGAAGTTGAGATGAAGGTGTTTCAAGTCAGACTAACCAGCTGACACACAGTTACCTGCTAATATAATGTCCATCTGGGGAGAGCAGGAAGGTAAGGAGGAGAAGTTGAAGAAAATAAATCACACTAAATTATGCATCCAAACATTTTTTAAATAGATGAAATAAAGATAAGATGAACATCAAGGGCACTCGAAAGAAAAGTGAAACTTTAACAGCTGAAATAATATAGGCATGGAAGGAGGCATTGTCTTTGGCAGATTGTGTGCTAGTTAACCGAGAGCATCAGGCTTCATGGGGAATTCCTTGTTGAGTCACTTTCTTACCTCTCTTGCATGTTTTCTAAGTGGAAGAGCCACAGCAAACATAGTCAAAACCAGCATTAAAAAAACCTGTTCGATTGGTGGAGTCAATTCTGACTGACCCCATGTGTGTCAGAGTAAAACTGTGCTCCAGAAAGGTTTTCAATGGACGATTTTTCAGAAGTGATTTCCCAGTCTTTCTGGTGAGTCACCTGTGGGTGAACTTGTGCTGTCAACCTTTCAGTTGGTACACCATGGGTCTTAACCATTTATAAAACCCCAGGGCTCCTTCCATCCACCTTTTCCCTCAAAAAGAGAGAAAGAAAGACTATAGAGCAATTACTTTGATGCTCATTGCTCCAGAAACAACAAAACAAAACTTCCCCAAAATATCAGTGCTCATGTTTCCTGGCAAAATGTATGTGGTCCCAGAAGAAAAATTACCTGTGATTCTCCTCTGGTCAGAATCTTTAGATGATTTGTTACTCTTTTTGATTTCTTACTGATTGAATGAATATTTAGCTTGGACAGTTTGTCTTTAAGTGATTCATCCTCATCATTCTTCTTATATTTTAGAACTATAATAGAAGAATACAATATCTGAAGTATACAACATAGAAAGTGAGCACTTCACCAGAAGTACTAAAGAGCTGTATGTTCATGCTTGAAATCTGTATGATTCTGACCCTCTATGGTAGATGACATATCTCTTGACACAGCTCCATTTGCACTATCCAGCCACACCTCTGGGAACACATCCCACTGCGTTTCAGAAACTCAGTTGCCCAAGGACCCTGACTGAAGACTCAAGGTTCATTTACCACCTACATTGAATAAATTCCTGATAGTGGAAAAATGCTCTTCCCCTTTTCTTAGACAATACTTGGGGCCCTGGAATCAAGTGTCAAGACGTAACTAGTAAAAAATCTCTACGCAAAGTAAGGAGACTTCACATTATAGAAGAGCTCGCCACTAACTGAGATTTTGGGTGAGTTGAGCCAACTCTCAGAGCTTTACTTAATTATCTTTAGAGTAATTTTTATCTTTCATAGTACTCTAAATGTTAAATACTCTGAATATATATATAAAATAAGGATAAATACCAGTCATTTTCAATTTTTATTTACTTTTTCATGAACAATGCATGAACACATGTACAAGAGTATCCCTAGGGCAAATACCTAGAAATAGATTTTCTCTGACTTGGATATGTTCATCTTCAACTTTACTAGATATTGTCAGGTAGGTTTCCTAAGTAAGGATTCCAATTTGCATTCTTACCTGCAAGCTGCAATGCAGCATTTACCGTTTTCTATTTCAAAACATTTTTGCCAGTTGATAGGCTGGGCATAGTATCTCATTGTGATTTTAATTTGCATTTATCTTATTACTAGTAAAACTCAGTATTTAAAAATGTATTGCTCTTTCTATGACTGCTTATTTATTATGAATCCTTTTTTATTAAAATGTTTTAATATTGATTTAATATTACTAATTTTATGTTTTGGGTAGTAATCCTTTGTGGTCTTTTTTAAAAATATTTTGTTTATAGCATTTTTAATCCCTAACTTTCACCTTCCACTGTGTCTTTCCATATGATTTCAATTTATTAATATAAACACATATTGAATAAAACATTAGAAAACAAAACAAATAAATGAAGGGTTTGAATCAGTACCTGCCATTGCTTCATCAATAGAGATTGAATTTTAGAAGTACAAGTCAATTAAGAATTGTATGGCCACAGATCACACTCAGGGAGGCCCCAGTCTATCCAGGGCTAAGATAAAGATAGTACTCTGTAAATGTGTACTGTGCAAATGGTACTAATATACACCTACATCTGGACTAAGAAAGAATTGTATAATTACCTCCCTTTTAAAATCGGCATTTTAATACTGACACGAATTTTAGGTCTTAGCTTACAAATACTAATAAAAACATAATTGCAATAAAGAAATGGTGTAGCAAGTAAAATACAATACAATTTCAAAATACAAAATTTAAAGCAGCAATAACTTGGTAATTCTCAAAACTAGCACACTTGTTCCCTTACATGGAGCAATTGCTGATGAAAAATATCCACTCTTTGTGTGCCAGGACCAACTGAGCATGATGTGCTTACTGGGCTTCCTCACCGGTCTGCTCCATTCTGACTCCTTTTCCTGCTGCAGTAGTTACTTGGTCATGTCTCCTCCTTACCACAAATACTGCCAGGGATAGGAGGACTATATGTGCTATGGGTATTTTCAACCACAATATGCCACCAAGTGTGCAGTGCTCAAAAGAGGCTGAGTATATGGCCATTTGATCACAAACTGCCTTTTTTTTGCATCATGATTTTTCCTGAACCTAGGTAGTAAGCAAAACCATGCTCTCCTCTGAAGCCCCTAATACCTGACATGAAGTGATCATGTTCACTACAATTGCTATAACAACTGTTGCTGATTCTGTTCCTGATTCTGAGTCTCAGAAACACAAACAGAGCTCTTGATTCATGGAAATACCCAGTATATCAGACTTCCCTTACCCAAATCTTTCCTTCTTTTAAGTTCATTGATGTTTATGTTAATATCTTTCACAGCAGCAAAGGCATCTTCCAGTGCTCTGTAATCTGGATGAGAAGGAGGGGTAGAATTTCGAAGTTCACATAGTAGTAAGGGGTATTTCATCACACGCTGAATTGGTTTGATCATCAAAGAGCCCATGTCCAATAAATTCGGTTTGCTTCTATAATAGAGATAAATGATGTTAGTTTCATAAACTTTATTAACTCATTTTCTTCCTTATGATAAACTCTAAAAAGCAAGGTTTTTTTCCCCCTCTTCATTTGTCTATGTAAAATTTCTAAATGAAAACAAGAACAAAGGATGACAAAGAAATAGAGCTGAAAATTCCCCATGTTTTTTCTTTAAGAAGACAGAAATTGAAAAAATACCCTTTATATTCATTATATCCTAGTTTTTTTCTTTTTTTTAAAAAAAAATATAATTTTTAAAAAGTAACTTTAGAGTAGTTCTGTCCAATAGAACTTTCTGCAGTCATGAAACTATTATATACCTGCATCATCTAGTGCCTCATGTGGTACTGAATACTTGAAGTATGGCTAGTGCAACTGGATAATTACATTTTTACTTTTATTAACATTCAATTAATTTAAATAATCACATATGGCTACAATATTGGACAGTATATTTCTAGAGTAAGATCCACCACCATTACTTTTATCTAAAGGCTATTCAACAAAATACTGAAAAGCCCTATTATTAAATCAAAACATTAAAAAAAAAAAACAAAAAAAAAAAACTAGTTTGAGTATATTTGTCTACCAATAGGAATTGGAAGCACACTTTGCATCCAAATTCTACTTACAGTTCTTTATAACAGGCTACATAATAATAGTGGAAAACAATTGCAGAATGTATTTTTCCATGACAACCAAGAAAAGTGCATTTGTCTGAAGCTATTTTTTCTTTCTTTCTGATTCTTAGGAAAATAAACTTAGTATGCAAAACTTTAAACATATGGAGGGATTCTGGGAAGATGGTGGCATAAAAATGTTATAATTCTGACTTCCTCTCCCTCCCCCAAGCACAACAAGAAACACAACAAAGAACTAGTGCTGGACTTTGAGAGACTCTGAATCAGAGAGAAGAGGAAAGCATCTGCAAACAGGCAAAAATCAACAATGAGTCACACACAATAGGAAAACCACTTTCTTTACTGTCCTTGCTCCTCCCCTAGCCACACAGGCAGCTGCATGCTATGAACTGGGTAAATGGTCTCAGAAAAAGAGCCTGTTATTGCAAAGAGACAGGATCTTAAGCTTCTGCCCTAAAACCAACAAGGCAGACCTCCTATGGGGTCTATTTGGAGTGTGCCAGTACCTCCCCAAACTAGACATTGTTAGCTATAAGCTTACTTTGAATTCTAATAGAAAGAAGAGTGATGAAAATTGAAGATGCTTGGAATCAGTCCAATGGACTAATGGAACATATGAACATCAATCTCCATGACTCTGAGACCAGAAGAACTAGATGATGCCCAGCTACCACTACCAACTGCTTAGAAAAGGACCATATTAGAAGATCCTGGATAGAGTGAGGTAAATATGGAATAAAACTCAAAATAATAATTTTTAAAATCCAGGCTTACTGGTCAAATAGAGATAGGTAGAACCCTAAGATTATGTACCTTGGTCACCCTTCAGGTTTGGAACTGAACTCACCCCCGAGGCTCAATTTTCAGCCAAGCTTTTTAAGAACTATTTATATGGGATCAAACTGACAACAACAATTCAAACGATTATATAGGAATCTTAGGGGGTAATGATAATATGTTAATAATGAAGGAACGATTCATTAAAAGTGAGTAAGAATGGTTGTACCACTAGAACAGCTTAAACATTATCAGCAATTGACAGATATATTGGGGAAATAAAGGCATCAGTGAGGTATATACACAACGGAATGATCAATCATTTGAGATTTTGTGTTGTTTTTTTTTAAAAGTAGCATTTACCCAAGGACAAAATTCAGAAGGATGAGGGGAAAGGAGGAACTGAAACCAGAAACATTGCAAGGAAGTTGGATAAGTGATATTACATTGTGAGGACTGTAATTATTGAGATTAAATGAAATGTATGATTTGTTGAATGTAAAACTGATGATCTGTTCTCTAAACTGTTACTCAATTCACACACACGCATGTATACACACACAAAAGGTTTTACCAAAAAAAAAAAAAAAAGGTGCAAAGACAAATTCCGAACTGTGAGAATATTTTTGGAAATAATATATCTTACAAGAATCTAGTAATCAATATACATAT